GAATGAAAGCTTTTCCAAAAAATGAATCAAATGCACGACCTTTGCCGCGAAATAGGTGATTGTAACAAAATAAATGAATCGCGATCGTCACATTTTTTTATTTTAAAAATATATATATATATATATATGGCTTCATTGAGTGTTACCTCTCATCGTATTTGTATTCATCACTGACCAACCCCTAAATAAATTAATAAGTAAATCACGTCTGTAGCGCTTTGAAAAGACAATCAATAGGTAGAGTATACAATAATGTTACCATTGATGTTTACGATTGGTGACATGGAAATAATGAAATGAAACCATTCTTCATTGAAAGTAATCAGGAATGTTATTTACTTGATAAATACGTTGAGGTATTCATGTTATTCGGTCATCGCACATGTTACCACCAGTCTGTGTGACATAATGCGCTGGTCCATTTCCTATTATTATATTGTTATGATCATTTGCATGCATTGGTATGAGTGTAATAAGAAACTTGTCCTGGGAACCAGATATCAACACGCCGCTCATTGAGTATACGTATTTCATTCTAGGTCCTGCATTCATTTAATATCAAGTGACTATCGAAGGCAGTATTAGTATCTGATGCTTGTGTTTATATGGAACATTGTATGCAACCTGGATTTACATCTTTGGAACATTATACACAGATACTCGTATATCACATAGGAGGCATGGAGTATGCAGTGTACGAAAGATACACATAACTTGCTGTATTTTGTATCTATTCTCGGATTGTTGTTGTAGTCGCGACACGCAAATGTGGTTATTTTGTTGACATTTGAATTGCCTTACGACCTTTCTAACAATACAACATGAGTCGCCATATGCCTGACAATATAATACATTCGATTGAACTATTTAACAGTTATATGTGGTAGGCAAATAATTTCTACGCTTATAGCACTTCAACTACATTGTTCTTGTTGTGATGTCATTACTATTGTACGTATACAAAATAAATACAACTTGCGCCATCTGGAAAGAGGAAATTAATTTGGCATTCTACGAGGCTTAACATGGCGACGGACGTATTTTACTTGGTGACAGAGATTACCATAGCTGTGCTGGCCGTATTCGGTAATGGTCTTGTAATGTGGGTCATATTCAAGTACAAACGCATGCAGACGATAACAAATTTGTTTATACTATCACTTGCCGTAGCAGATTTTCTAGTGGGACTCTTGGCAATTCCTTTCGCTATCATGACTAGCCGCGGTATTCCTTCAAACTTTCAAGGGTGTTTGTTCATGCTGTCATTTCTCCTATGGCTCTGTACAAGCTCGACGTACAGTCTAATTGGGGTGAGCGTGGACCGATACTTGGCCATTGCGCACTCGCTGAGATACCATACGATCATGACGACCAAAAGTGCCGTGGTTATGATCACCATATCTTGGTTAGTAGCCGGCATTATCGGCACGCTTCCTCTGATGGGGTGGAACAAAGGTCGCCCATCGGAGCCGCAGTGTTTATTCATGGAGGTAATACATATGGAATATATGTTCTTCAATTTTATATTTGCCATTCTTGTACCATTGGTAGTGATGCTTGTGATATATGGATCCATTTACCATGCCGCCAAAAAACAGGTATGTATGACTGGAGTGAAAGACAAGGTGTATATCGTTGGCATGTGTTAATGAAACTATGGCAACTAAGTATGTAACATAAAACGAAATATATTTCAGCTTTCACTTTTCGTTTCGCCTGTATTTTCACACATTTCTCGATATTTGTAACAGGTATTGTGTAAAAATAGGACAGAGGTCACAACAAATTCAGTTGGTGCATAGCGTCACATACTAAAACAAATGAACTATTCTATGTATATATGAATGCATTAATTGATGCACTTCACAATGTTGTAATTTATTCAGTACCAAAAGACACCGGTAAAATTGTCCATTACATGTAGTCTGTAAAATCGAACGCCTGGATGGATAAATGAGAACATTGCATAGTAAAAACAGAGCATTATAATATGGATAATTCAGGCATGTGGTAAAAACATTTCATAATAATTTTGTAGCAAAAAAAAAACATTCTTACTCGACGCATGCTCACAACTCTATCCTTTAGGGAGTCGTGCTTTATAGAGATAATTGGGATGATTGGTCAAGCCGACCACTGATAGCTTTATGGAAATGTATTAGACATGTTTATTACACCTCATGCCCTTAATCTAATTGGCTAAAATGTGGTCACGTGGGATTCGTGAAACATGTTTAATGACCATAGGTGAGATTATTGAAAGAATTAATGACCTGTGCAGTCCTGAGTGTTTTTACTGCACACGCGCCCTTGGTTTGTTTCGAAAACGAAAGACCATTTAAGGTCATGTGAGAATTGTGTTGACACATCCATGTATCAATTACAATTACACGAGATGAATACGATGAAATAGTTTTGACTCGTGTGTATGAAACATAAAAAATATAAAGATATTGCTAGTTTTACTACTATGTATATTTGAGATAATTTATGTTGTTGCACTAATGTTACAATTGGTATCAAAATGAGGGTATATAATTTTATATATAGAAACATGGCATTTTGTGATATCATGATAATTCAACTTTTTACCTTTTCCGAAAATAGGTTTTGTCATATTTTATTAATAGTGACACCACCGAGTTTCTATTAACCTGTGTCAGCGACAATTCGCCTTTAAATTACGACTAAAATCATTGCCAAAATTCATAGACAATCTAGATATTAAAGAATTCTTGATACAAATACACTATATTTAATAAGTTAACTCTTGAACGCATCAAATATCTTAGATGTTATTTTTTGTTTGTTTGAATACAAAATGCTCTTTGTAATGGGAAGCCAATTTCTGCAATGAGGAGTTTTTTAAAGCAAAAAAAATGTAGACTTTGAATAGTGAGTAGGATTTAGTTGTTGGTGCATGCCTAATGTGCAGAGAAATTCATCGTCGGGTTTGGTTAACAACTAAATTCACAGGCGCGCAGCTTTTAATGAATCAATTGTAACAGCACGTCATTTAATCTAGGACATCAGCGCTAACAATTCGTTACATTTGATTCCTGTAGAATTGTATGCTTATCAGATTCCGGGCACAGCCGTTGTCGTGTTATTTAATTTAATATCTAAGTGGATAAATTTGTCTCAATTATGGTGTCCATTTCCAATTACCATACGTGACGTAACTACGTAAATACATTAGAAAAAGTTAAACCATCAAAAAAATCTACCACAAGCTAGGGGTTCCAAATATAAATCGTGATATAGATACTTTTATCGTATGCGAACACTATCATCCGGGTCCTCACTGATGTATGTTCTTATTTTGGGTTCATTGCATACAAGTTATTGTTATAAGTGCGTATACAAAATATTCATGGTTACGTGTGATAGTAATTTGCATTTGTCAATAGTACCATATATGCAATATAACGTGGTCATTGTGTTTTAATAGCATGAAATGACCCCCTCCCCCGGCGCTTTATTGAACCACACGTAATTAGGGTACATATAACTGCTGGGTACGGTACATAATTCATACGTACGCAATCAATAGACGCGTGTATGGATTTGCTTTTTTATGAGAACCGTTCATAATAGATGAAATGAAAAAGTTAAAAGTCGCCCAAAACACATTTTATTTGAAAATTCAGTATTTAAAACCAGGACATAATTATGGTAATTAACAAGCTATAAATTAAATCTCGTGTTTAAGTTTACGTACTGAGGTTTATCAGAGTTGTCACCGTACTAAATTGTTAAACAGAAAAGTGTAAGCTAATTTCTACGATATTATTTATTTCTGGTTTCCCTTTTTTCTAAACTCATTCTCACGACAGAGAACAATGCACATTGTTTATAAAGTGATATAGTGTTGTTGATTAAACTCATCGCGGGTCTGCAACATTTGTTGCTTTGAAGGATTACATTCAGTTACGTATGTGAATATCATGTTTAGCATATATGTGAATATCATGTTTAGCATATATGTGAATATTATGTTTAGCATATATGTAAACATCATTTTAGCATATATGTAAATATCATGTTTAGCATATATGTAAATATCATTTTAGCATATATGTATGCACTTATCGTGGCAAAGCATATATATTTAAATATCGTAAATATGCAATATGCAAATATTTGCGAAGTATGTCGTGCATTTTCAAAGATATAAGCTACGATCTCACACGTCTAAAAACGCCGGTGTTAACACTGTTTTTTTTTGCTGTGCAAATATTAGATAATCTGCTAAATTGTCTGCTCGCGTTCTCACTTAGTAAAAACACCGGTGTTTCAGGATTGAATGCTGGCCTTCCACCTAATATTTTGCGAAGTTCATCCCAAAATGGCATAGTTTTCGGATCTCTATTGCTTCTGTTGTTGTGCTCAGTCACTTCTCATTTCTCAGAACTCTTTTTTTCTATAATGGAATCAAAGATTAAACTAAATTAACATGAATAGAAAAAAAAATTGCATTTCCAACAGATAATCAATTTAAGAAACGGCTGGGTAAATTATTTTATTTTTTATTTTTTGGATGCGTGATTTTATTTCTATTTGTAATTATTTGTGTATTTATTAATGTCTTTAAATTACAATGTTTTGATGCCGTTGTTTATATTAGTGATTCATGTGGATGGGGTATTAGAACCCTACTGGAATAAACTGCTTTTAGGCTATCCTAGTTATGAACTTTGTTTTTTCATTCGTTTTTTTTTTCATACGATGCAAATATCATAGTTTTGCATATTTCGTTTGCGCATGTCTGAGATGAGATGTACGTGATTAGTGTAATATGTTATTAAGTATACTAAAACTTTCTATCACACTAAGCATGTAACACATTAATAAATAATTTGCATATTAATGTAACACATTAATAAATAATCTGCATATTAATGTAACACATTAATAAATAATCTGCATATTAATGTAAAGTTATTTGCATATGAATAATATTGTATCTGTGACCATCTTTCTGCTTACTCGGTAAATCATGATTTCAACTTTTCAATTATTTTTCCAACTGTTAATCGTTTTCGTTATAATAGTCTCAGAAAGAATACTTACCACAATCATTTGTACAAACATCGACATGACCTGATATTAATCTATATCTAAGATATAGCTATAATTACATTTGTTTGATAGTCTGAAGCTTTTCCAAATTATAGTTGTCGTACATTACAAATCATATTACACACAATGCATTGTCTATGATACTCTTTACTCATTGTCATTCTATACTAATATTTCAAATCATTCCCCAACATCACCGGTGCTATGTAATTTTAAAATATATGTATGTCAACGCATTCGAACGTACGACATGCAGTCAATAGCAGCATCACGCATTTCAATATATAGACATAACTAATGTCTACCAAAGTATTGCTTTGTATATACGTATGTATATTTAGAAATCCGCCCCAACACAAACATCCACCGCGTCTCATCGAAACTCGCACTGAAACTAATTTTAAAGTGGTTGTAATAATAAATTAAAGCAAAAGTTTGTTGGGACGCTATACACATAGCAAGTGGAAATACATCAATTTACTAATGTACTTAGTCAGATATTTCTACCTAGTCTTGTCTTAAATTCATTTTAAATTAGTTATTCTACTCTATATTGTGTATTTTTACTGAAAGCCAGTTTAGGAACTACAAAAAAGGCATTTATAAAACATGGGACTGATTATTACCAAACTTCTGTTTTCGTAAACTCGCCGTTATTGATCGCATAGCAAAGAGTTGGTTTCGTTCATGTGACGTTTAATGAATACTCCGCCGTATGGATTCTTCCGCTTTTTATATAAATACCACAAGCCGTGCTGAACCTCAATATAATATACTTGGTGAACGCATCTGTGGTTCCCAATAAAACATAAATGTTAGGATTCGATACGATCAACTAAGCAAATAGCTTTGAGTGCCATAATAAATTTATATTTTATTTAGATTGCTTGACTGGTAACCTTTGTTATTTGTTAATATTTTGTTATGTTATCATATATAACGTCATCAATATACCGGTAGTTGTTTTGTGAATATTATTTTTTGTTGCTTTTTAGAATTTTTTACGACATTATGTAACATTAGTAACGATTCCTTATCCAATGACTCAAAATTCAGCCAACGGTGAAACAAAAACTGAACAAATATATTAATGCGAGTTGGAATTTTATTTTCAACATTATTTACAAAGCATTCACAGCGTGATGCTCAAATAACAAGAATTTAATAACACATGCTTTTATTCGATACATATGAAAACTGTCTACAGCATAATGAATGTATTATCAGTATTTGTATATAGTAAATACACACATATTGTATAGGACGATATTGGCAATACATTTGGTACATATCATGGTACGAATGTTATAACAGACAGTGTGTAAGTGTCATGAATTTACTCTGCCTCCCACCTAACTATTTATTTATTTATGTCCAAGTGTTTCGATCATTTCAACTCATGTAGAAGAATTAAAAGTATGTATTTCGTTAAATTTATGAATGAACAAACATAGAATAAGCAGAACTGGTAAATTATAATTAAGATTGAACGTAATTGATTCCACGTTTTTTCTGT